GTACAATGACCAAACACAAATGTTAACATTTATTTGTCAACATATTTGACAACTCTATAAAGTAACCCTGATCTGAAGAGTCAGAATGCGAAGGTATGCCAAATAAATGATCTTAAAGGTAAAACAGTACTTATTCCCAACCTTTCTTATAATCCCCTCCTCTTCCTGGTTTCGTAGATAGTTGATATATGTGTGAATAAAAGTGGGGAAAAACCCATAAACCTAACCACCATCTCAAATTCTGTAAGACGTTAAGTCGCACAGAAACATCACAGCCCAAGTGCTTAGTTTCTCAAAATTACACATTTACAAACTATGAGCGTGGAGTGTATGGCTTGTGTACATGCAGAACTATAATCAGAACAAGCAATTCCACCTAAGTAACAAAAAGCACTATTTGGCAAGTATTCTTCAGATTGACAGTGTCCCAAATGCTACTAGTTTTCAAAGGTCATAACTTTATTCTCTGTCATGATTAAGACTATAGTGTTACTTTCATTGTGAAATAGCTATCACTTGCATTACCATTTCTGGGAGCTCCTGGTTACATAAAACCATAGAATAGTTACAGATGGAAAGGACCTTAAGAACATCTAGTTCCAGCCCCCCTGCCATGGGCAGGGACACCTCACACTAAACCATGCCACCCACAGCTTCGTCCAACCTGGCCTTGAACACTGCCAGTGATAGAGCATTCACAACCTTCCTGGGCAACCTATTCCAGTACCTCACCACCCTAACAGGAAAGAGTTTCCTCCTTATATCCAATCTAAACTTCCCCTGTTTAAGTTTTAACCTCTTACCCCTTGTCCTGTCACTACAGTCCCTAATGAAGAGTCCCTCCCCAGCATCCCTATAGGCCCCCTTCAGATACTGGAAGGCTGCTATGAGGTCTCCACACAGACTTCTCTTCTCCAGGCTGAACAGCCCCAACTTTCTCAGCCCATCTTCGTATGGGAGGTGCTCCAGTCCCCTGATCATTCTTGTGGCCCTCCTCTGGACTTGTTCCAACAGATCCATGTCCTTTTTATGTTGAGGACACCAGAACTGTACACAATACTGTAAGTGAGGTCTCACGAGAGCAGAATAAAGGGGCAGGATCACATCCTTCGACACAGATGTGAGAAGTTTTTATTCCCAAAGTACTCAAAATATACATTTGTTTAGCTTTTCTCTGTTCTTCAAAGATTATAAATTCTCTGAGCATAGCCAAAGCTCTCACTGGTCTGGATGTTGGTAATTCTGTGCATGTGCTGTTTCCTTAGTCTGAATAAATATACAATTGTGTTAGAAGTCCCACTGATACTGTCAGGTTTGAAAGTTAACCCTCCACAAGTTTGTTGGGTTTTTTTCAGAATTATTACCAAAATAATTACTTTTGGGTTATTCTTCTACTAGCTCTGATAAACTTGCAACCACAGAAACACTGAAAAGTGATGGGCTGGTTGCTTGGTTGGTTAGTTGGATTGTTTTCCCCCTTAAAAATCAAGCTTGTTCATAGACTTCCTGTATATTTTAATTTCTTATAGCAATGCTACAGTGATACTGTTGCAAAAAGGCAACACTAATATGTTGAAAGAGGTGCATATGAACACTTGGATTAACAAAGCCAAACAGTGGTTCTCAGTAAAGAAAACCAAGTTCCTTTTTAACTTTTATACATCAAATTCCCCTTGAAAATAGTAAACAAATCTTTGAATAACAGTTACAATGAAAGAAAAAAAAAAGCTGAAAATATACAAAAAAATCAAACAAAATATTATAAAAAATAACATTTTTTGTTTTTTTCATTTTTAACTGAGCTTGTTGGGTAGCAACAGTCAGCTGTGGTCTTATTCAGAGAGGTAAGTCATAGGATCATACAGCAAACTAAGTTGGAAAAGACCTTTAAGATCATCAAGTCCAACTATTTCCCCAGAACTGCCAAGACCACCACTACACCATGTCACTAAGGGCCTCATCTGCACAGTTTCTGAACACTTCCAGGGATGGTGATTCCACCACTTCCGTGGGCAGCCTGTTCCAATACCTGATCACCCTCTCTGTGAAGGAATTGCTCCCAGTGTCCAATCTAAACCTCCCCTGGAGCAGCTTGAAGGCTGTTACCTCTTGTCCTATAGCTTCTTACTTTGGAGAAGAGACCAACACTCTCTTCACTACAACCTCCTTTCAGGTGGTTGTAGAGAGTGGTAAGGTTCCCCTTGAGCTTTCTCTTCTCCAGACTGAACAATCCCAAGCTAGTCATCAGCTGACTAGCTTTCTTCAGAGCAAGGCAGCCCATACTGGTGCATGTCTCCATAGGTCCAAAGCACTCCAGCTTTATTGCTGACTGACAGCATAAGAGTTTTCATTTCTAACCTTTACTGAGCTTGGACTTATCACCTCCAGAATCACTTTTTACTGTAATATGCATAGATCTGGGATCTGTAAACTGGGCAGAGTTATGAACATGCACGGCCGGTTATGGTTTTGAAAGAGCACTTGGTCTGGAACATGTACTGAAATAGTAATAAGACATAGGATGAACTGCACAGTTCAGCTCCAAGATAGCATAAACGGGTCTTCCATTATGATATTTCTCTGGTATGTTTGAAAAGACATTCTCCTCTCCATGAATGTTCTGGCTATGACCTAGGAGAGTATCCAGTGATGACTCATCTTTTAGAATTGCTGAAAGGGGGAAAAGAGGCAGTAAAAGCCTCACATAAACCATAAAATTCATGCTGTAAAGCACAACTGATACTTCTCAAGTTAGACTACACAAAAAATCTATCTACAGCACAAAAGGCAGAGATTTCACACAAGGTAACTAGACACATTCACTGACCACATTCATACAGCATGGTTGATTGTGGAGAAGCCACAACCATCAGGATGAAATCTAACATTGGTAGCAGGAGGTGGATTATCTGTTTTCTGTTTGCAGTATTTAACAGAATCATATGGCTTGTTACAGCACATGAATGAAGTTAAAACAATAAACATGAAATCAAGTTTTAAGATTCTTTCAATTAAATCAATATCCTAGTACATCCTCTGTTCTCATATTGTGATAACCACATATATTTTGTGCCTCCCTGTGATAATAATTTAAGATTTCAATAGTTATATTGACTACAAGGTATTTGGGAGAATTATTCTTGTTTCTAAATTATAAATTGATAAAATTAACTTACCTATCAAGTGTTTTTAATTGGAATAGGCAAAAAAGATAAAAAGTGATCTATTTTTGTTTCCTGCTTTTCTTCTGAACCAGGTGATGCTTCTTAGATCCTTTTTCCTCCTATCTAATTTACATTTAACTTGGCTGCTGATAATAAGTCTCTAATTTGTAATTTCAGCTGATTACTGATGACGTACATGGGTTTGAAGTGAATCCTATAATCAGCCTTCATTTTCAGGAGTGACTTAGGATTTTGGCTGCCCATCTGAAAAGGATCTAATTTCTTTTATAGAAATTATTGAAACATTCACCATCTGAACCTGTAAAGACCCCCACAGGGTGTATCTAATCACTGAATCACTCACAGTCTTTGGTTACTTCAGATAATTCAGATCCACCACCTTTAAAGACTTGCACTTTTGTTTCACAGGTTTTCTTTGGTTTTGAATATACCCATCATGACCTCCTTTAAAGTAATTAAAACTCTGTAGTAATAGAAAATCTTTCAGGCAGGCAATTGTTTTTCTATTTAAGGGATCGTTTTGATAATATAAGTTATATTTTATTTATTGCACTCATTTTTCACACAGAATTGTTGCTATGCTTAAGATATGACATCAATGGAATAGATCATTACCATGGAAAAATGCCTCTCTTATTTTCATAAAGAAAGATAAGAACTCATTCAATTATAAAACAAATAAATGCTAAAATGTAGACAAAAGCATTGTTCTCCAGTCAGATGGCATTAGTTCTGAGAAAAATATCTCTGCAGATATGTCAAATGTCTTGTATGCATGTAGTAATTTGGATGGTCAAGTAAGTAAGGTGAAAGTTGCATCTTGTGCCATTGTGGAACTACTGCACTCCTATTGCCAAGAATGAAAGAACCTTTCCAGCTATTCATCTAACTGAAAAACATATTGCCCACGAAGATAAAATTCTCTTTAATTTGGTATGTCCTAAATGTGGGTTTTTTTTAGCCTGTAATTAGCAGTTAAGTTCATCTATTTGGCAGTCTAAGTGATTCTCAGGTGTTCCTTTCAGATTCTATTTAGCCTTTGTCTCAGGTTTGTGAGGGTATTTAATGCTTGCTTAGTGCAACAAGCACTTTCTAGATGGCTTCTTACTACAAGAAGCACCATGATTTTAGTCAAAGAACTTCCCTCAGTACAGATGTTTTTTTCAGGGTGTTTTGAGCACTTAATACAGTCAAGGTTAGTCTCTTGCCTAAACATTATTAATGCATATGTAGGAAGAAAACAAGGAAGAGAGAAGGAAACATTCACTGCAGGAGGAAGCATTCTTTAATATTCTGTAAATACCTTCTATGGTGTACATAAATATATACATATATTACTGTGAGTAATTTGTAGGATATCGACATCCATTTTTATCTAGCTAGATATTTTCCCATAAGAATCTATATAAATACATGTATCTTAAGTATATTCTAAGTATAATCTCCCGTACCTGCCTTTGCAGACAAAATTAACAACATTTTAATGTAAGATGCTGGAAGCATAGTTATTTGGAGCAGGCAATAGTGAGCGCAGTAGGATTACTGAGTAACTATTTTCCTCTCTCAGATCCTGTAAGAGGGAGAGAAAAAGCAGAAAACAGGAACAGCTTAACTCACCAAAAAAATCAAGCCACTGCATTGCCCTCCTAGCCACTGAATGTTTTTGAACATAAGACTGAAGATTGCATCATTGCAAGAAAGGCTCCCTGCACTCTCTACAATCACAAGCTGTGCACTATGCAAAAAAGGAAAGAAAAAAAAAAAAAAAAAAGCTCAGGTTTACCCCAGCATCGGAGCCAGTAGAAGTCAGAGCAGGTAGAGAAGTGTAGGGAACAGAGAGAGAGAGGGAAGGGTTAAAGGCATTATCGCAGCCATTAGAGGGAAAAGTTGAAGCAGTACAAGCACAGTAGACTTCTCTCTCTTCCCCCCTCCCCCCTTCTCTCCCCCACTCCCCTCTTCTCGAGCTGTATCAGTGTGTAGGGAGGGCAGTCATCACGCCATCCTGAGCAGCAAGAGCTGACGTTGGCCGAAGCTGCCAGGTAGCTGAAAAAAGGCACAGAAGGCAGCTGATACCCACTTCTCAACGGTTTGTTTGGTTTTTTGCCTTTTTTTTTTTTTTTCCCCAGTCTGAATCTGGACTTCAAGCAACACAGCGCCTGAGACAGCTCATCTGAACCACACTGTATTGCAATACTCCCTCTTCCCAAAGAAAAAGACTACACTGAGTAGCAGAATGGTGCCAGTGTTGCAGCTAGGGCTACAATACAGAGCCTTTTTGTAACATCTCTCTATTCACGTATTTAGAGATACATACACACACTCATATATCAATTCTTCCTTTTTTGAGGGCACCTTTGGCTTTTATTACCCTGATGTGACTTCTTCTTCATCTTGGAATGATGGGGATCTTTCTAGCTTATGTTGGATTCATTTTCTTTTCAGTTATGTATATTCAACAAGGACTTTCTACCCAAGGTAAGATCACTTATTGTCAAATCTGTGTGTATGCTTTTCAATGCTAAAACAGACTGAGAACAGGATTAGGGGGAGGAGGATAAGAGGAAAAAGAGACTAAAAGGAGGAAAAAAGCACACAGGGATAGGAGATGAAGACACCAGGCATCAGGTTTACACTTAGGTTAAAAATTGTCTTTAAATAAGAACAGAAGTGAGAAGTTTTCCCAAAGTGGGAATAAAACAGGCTTCTGTTACTTGATTGCAAAGGGGGAAATAAGAGGCACCTCGCAGAAGAGTAAAGGGCTGTTGGTGAATGGACATGCATGTATTTGGGTAGTCTATGTCTGTGTATGTGCATGTACGCATACAATAAACACCTACCCGTGCGTGCATAATTGTTGTATTCAGACCAAGTATCCGGTGGGTAAATCTACTGCCTCTCTCAAAACATTGATCCTCCTTTAGTGCTGCCTCCCCTTTCCTCTCCTATCATCCTGCAATCCTTAGAGTCAGACCTTCATTTTGAGTCTGTGACTATCCGTATTGCCCCCACCTCAAAAAAAAAAAAAAAGGGGGGGGGGATAGAAAAAAGGGGCGAAAAAGACAAAATCGACTTCTTTAAAGCCCTCACCCCCCACCCCCGTCTCCTTGCTTCCTCCCTCCTCGCCTAAAGGCGCGCCTTGCATTTCAAGCAGCCCCAGCGCTGCAGGAGCCGGTTGTTTGGGATCTGAAGGCTGATGCGACGCTGTCAGCACCATGGATAGATCGCGCAGGGGAGACCTCTGCTCCCGCCGTTCCCTGCCGGCAGCTCCCGCTGCTGCGCTCGGTGGTGCGATCGCGGGAGGATGCCGGCAGCATCCCCCTCCGCGACCCCACACCGCTCGCACGCACTGACCAGGAGGGGAGGGAACGGACAAACCGAAAACAACCCCAAACAAACAAACTTACAAGCCCCGAATACACAAAATGCAGAGTTCTCAGTTTAACCCGGTGACTAGCAACGGCTGACTGGGTGGGCAGCGGTGGAGGAAGAGGGGTGAGGGAAGTGGGCAGAAAAAGGGGCACCGTAAACCACAGAGCTAGTAGCTTTGCTAAGTATCTGTTGCCAAGCACAAATCTAAAAGGAGAAAGAAGTAACACAGGCGACTAAATTATCCCACCAGTTCCAGGTTAGCTAGGAATACTAGATAAAGAGCGAGAAAGAGAGGAGGAGACAATATTTCCTTCCCATCATAATACATTCTAGTCAGCCTGTAATGATGGATAACAGAAAGCAACATTGCAAGGTCTTTTCAAAATTTTCTCTTCTTGAAACACAGGTTGTATTTATTGTGCTGTTTGTCTGTAGCCCCCCTCGCTTGACTGTCATGTTTCATTATGCTGCACATTTTTAAAGTGAGTTATAGGAAAGGATGAGACTGGTGCCCCGAACTGTGTCCCTCAGGATTAATGTTTAAACCTAGCAGTGCTACACTGAAATGGGTAGATCCTGTTTGTCAAAGAACTGGGGTACAAAGGTGAAGGTTAGATCTAGGAAGTGTCTATCAGGGCTGAGAAACACAAGGTGTATTGCTCCTTGGTGTGCTTATGTAGGCAGAGGTTCTCAGAAAGAGTAACTAACTCAGGTAAAGCCTTTGAAACCAGCATTTTGATGAGTGGCTGTGACCTGTGCCTCAGAAGAGTGCCCGTTCCATAAGCTATGCCAGCTGGCTATGGAAGGTTTAACAATTTGCACGTCTCCAGCTCAGCCCTATGAAATACAATAAATCAGTCTGATCTCCTTTTTCCTCTCCCAAATTGTTGCACAAAATCCCTCAGTGAGTCCAGTGAAATACTGCAGTCTGCCCAAGGGTATTTGGACCTAATTACATGAAACTTTACTAGCCTATGGGAGCAACCAGGGCGGTCTACAGCATTTCCCACAAGCAGAGCTTAGACTGTAAAGAAGGCAGATTTGTGCATAAGGGAGGAGAGGCAAAGCTGTTTATGAGAGAAACTCGGGGGGTTGGGGGAAATGAACAATGTGTGTATAAACTGGAAAATCATGGAAAATCAGAAAAGAGGGGCAATGGGAAAAGAGATAAATTACTTTGAAATAAAAAAAAAAAAAAAGAAAAAAGAGAAAGGAGAAAAAAAGCAACACAAAAAGCAGAGAATAAACAATGAGCGGTGTCAGGAGATCCCAACATGTCATTCATTTGTTTTGCAGCAAAATTCACTGAGTTTCCCCGAAATGTCACTGCCACTGAAGGGCAGAATGTGGAGATGTCTTGTGCTTTCCAAAGTGGCTCCGCTTCAGTGTACCTTGAAATTCAGTGGTGGTTTCTGCGGGCGGCTGAGGACCAAGAGGCTGGAGCTGAGGTGACAGGCACTCAGGTACTGATCTTCTGCTGTGGGATTCCCAAACCACCCAGGGAATTAATGCCATAGCAGAAAGGGTGGAGAGGGAAGGAGAGAAGGGGGGAGAGAAGGCAGAAGCAGAGGGAGGTTCTGGATCTCCCCAGGGGCTTAATTTTTACCATGAACTAGCAGCACAAAAACCTGCAGAGAAAAATACCCACCTCAAGGGACGGTACCTTTGGTGCCTGTCACTCTCGGGATGCAGCTTAGGGATGTTCACAAAACCTCATGGATTTCCAAAGTCTAATTTTTTTTTTTTTATTTTTCTTTTTCTCTGTTTCATTTTCCCTTCGGAAAGCAGCTGTTCAGAGACTGCTCCTTGTGGGATTTTTTTTCATCTCCCAAATGGCAAGATCCTACACGTGCCCTCCAATTTACAGCTGGTGCAGCCAAGTTGGCAGCCCTAACTCTGCATGCAGCTGCCACAGGAAGGCGCACACATGGGAGCGGAGGGAGGGAAGCCGTGCCCCAAAGAAGAAGATAAAAATAAAACCCATACAACAGCACAATTGCAGCCCTCCGAGTGGGCAAAGGAGGCCATGTGCGCTTACACCGCCACCCAGGGCAGCTCCTTCTTTCCCCCTTCTGCCAGGGTCGCGGCGATGAGCCGCCCCACGAAGCCGGGTGCGAGGCGGGTCCGTCCGTAGGGCTGTGCCCCCCTTGCCGCGCTCCCTGGGGTGCCCAGCTGCCCGCGGCTCTCCCCAGCGCGGCCCGCAGGGGGCACACGCGGCGCGCCCACCGCTCCCCGTGCTCCTTGGCGAGGCGGGGGGCGCGGGTCGGCGTGGTCCCCGGGATGGGGGCTGGCCACCGACGGCGCGCTGCTCTCCCTACAGGTGGAGCTCCTGCCCGAGCGGGACCTGGACAGCGACGGCACCAAGATCAGCGTAAGTAGCGGCGCATGGCGCGGGCACCCCCGCTCGCCGGTCCGGCCCTGCCGGAGACACAGCCCACCCCGGGCGCTGCCAGCGGCCACCCCGGAGCAGGCACAGCGGGGTACGGCGAGGGTGGTCCCCTCCCCCCGGGCATCCCCTCCCCACTCTCACGGGATGCTGAAGCGGGAGGGTGACTCCTCCCTCGGCTCCTTCCACGTCGGCCCCGGCAGAGGGTGCCAATCCTGCCCCAAGAAGCCTTCCCCCCCCCCGGGGACTCTGTGCATGAAGCGAGGTCCAGGCAGACCTTCGGCAGGCTCTGCTTCCACCCCATGAAGCAGCCCGTCTGCACCCGTCCTTATACCTTCTGGTTTCGTTCACCCTGGGTGACTGCTGAGCCTGCCTTACCGTGCCAAAGGTGGGTTTAAGGCTGAAATTTGGTCATGAAGCTGTGCTACCCTTCAGTGGAGTGTCCAAGTGTTTAAACTGGTGCTTTCCCAGGTTCATATTGCCTGGCAGAAAAAAGCTCATAACGTCTTTGGACAAGACCTCCCCACTGGGAGGGTTAGGGCTAGGGTTAGAGAAGTGCCTTAGGGAAGTGGGGTTCTGACAGCATAGTTACCAATATGATGTTTGAAAATTAAGTTAGAAAGCTGTCTCAACAAAATTAGGAACAACATTGCCCCAACCCTTGTCCAGGGAAAGGATGCCTTACTCAGCAGACCCGTACCGTGTGCCAGGCACAGCCATAGCCAGTCCCTGACCTCAGAAGAGTTCAGACCCTCTTCCCTCTGCATCCTAACTAATGTATGGTGGTGAGGTCTTGGTGTGGTGCTTACTGCAGTGGAAAGGCACAGATAATTGGCAGCTAATGTAGCATGGGTATTCATTCCTTTATCAACCCAACGGGGTTTTCTCTTTCTCAGACACAATCCCTTCATAAGTGCCTTTTAGCTACAGCCAAAGAAGTAAGTACCAGCAAAGCTTAAACCAGTGACAGAGGTGAAAAAATTATGTTAAATCCTTTGCTGCTTTTTGATGTCTGCAAATAATTAACCAAGTAATTACATTGCCTCTAAGTGCAGCTAGATATAGCTGAAGGGCATTTATAAGAGAGAATTCAAATACATTATATTCAAAATGATACATAATCTAGCCATACTTAAATTTCCTATGATACTTTTCACCATACAATAGAAATGATTTGTGTTGTCAACTGTATCTTCAGTTCCATTAGTAGACTATGTTACAAATGAGGCCCGCATGTGGTCTTTGGATACTGTTCCACTAGACGTAGTACTGTAAGCCAATTAATTCCCTATCAATACTGGCCGTTCAAAATTACAATATCAATCCATGAGGTCTGTGACTCAGTACTAGTTGTAAAGCTTGTCCCATCCTTCAGCTTAAAAGTCTCTCGCTCGTTATGTATGATAGTAATTCACGAAGGGGTATTTAGCCAGTGTTTTTATAAACTTGCATAAAACATTTTATTTCTAAAATTAAAAAAAAGTCAACATTAGGTTGACAATCTAAATACACTTGTTACAAATGTAGCCTTCCTTTTTTTTCCTCCTTGAAGGCAAACACAGAGTCTCCATTAGTACTACTGACAAGTATCTTCATGAATAGGGGAGCAAAATTTAAGCGCATTTCATTAATTCTTTACAGAAATGGCAAAATATACTAAATGAAGTTTTAAGTTGTGCTGAAATACACTGCTTCTACTGGTTTTAAGTGATAATTAGGCATAAATTGAAAACATGCATACATGCTGACCGCAAATTTCTAAATTCCTAAAACAAATTCTCTTTTTCATTAGTGTTACGCAACACTGTTAACTTACCAGATACTGCAGTGGAGCAAATTAACGTGGGATATGACCTAAAGATCCTCCTTCCATTCATATGAACTTTCTTTAATCCTTTTGCAGAATATGAGCTGTTCAGTAGAGATATATTATTATCAAATATGGTTTAAATAACTATCCAGTACTTTAGACGTAATTAATATTGCATAGGTTGGACGAGACCTTGGGTGATATGGTTTAGTGTGAGGTGTCCCTGCCCATGGCAGGGGGGTTGTAACTTGATGATCTTAAGGTCCTTTCCTACCCTAACTATTCTATGATGCTATGATTCTATGTTATGCCTGAAAGTATGCAATCCATACTTCCAACTCAGTTTGCCAAGTATAAATTTTGAGATGGATAAAACACAACAGGCTGCAAAATCCATCCAGTACCTTAAAGCAATAATATATTCACAGTTATTGCTCTTCAATTTATCAAGCAGGCAGAATAGGTGCTTTGCCAACACTGGTGACTGCAACATACCAAGCTAACAGAAGCAATATGTTGTATAATCACCAATAACACTTGCCTATTTTCAATTGAACAGTTCTCCATTTTCATGGTCTACCATATACTCATCACTCCGACGTTTCCTCATTGACTGTCAGTGATACAACACAAAGCCACATTTGCAACCATAAACATGTAATGGTGGATGTAAACTGGGTTTGGGAGTTCTTCTAAGCTGAAGTTTTCTATCCCAATAAATCCCTTTTAACTGGCTTCCTCTGGGGCAAGAGATATTCATCCACATAGAGAGTAATAGGCAATTAATTAAATATAAATTCTCTGAAGTGATGAACATACAGAAAGGAGTATGTGTTACCTTCCCTAATGCATCTTAATAGCTATCATGCATTTTTGAATGCATAATTTACTCTTGTATTTTAATTATGTGAGACAAAAATAAGTTATGTTACCCTCAACTATTAAAAGCAATTAAAAATCAATCAGGAGTTATTTTAGCTGACAGCTTTTAAAACTATCTTGAATATGTGCTACTTGAATATGTGCTGCAGAAATACGTGACTTCTAATAAACATGTAGGTGAAACAAAAGGAACTACCCGGCACAAGGTGTCTTGTTATAGTTAATAAATAAAAATACCAAAGGTACATGCCTGAATGGGACAAACTGAATGTCAAAGATCAGTTTCATTGTAGTGGAGACTACAAGCTAATCCAAGAAATTATTATTAAAGAAGTTTAGATATTGGCCAACATTTCCAACAAAACTGTTAATGCACAAGTCCAAAAGCTGAATTATTCAATAAAGTGAACTCATTGGAAAGGTTTAACTGATGAAGTGCACAGATATTACATTTATGTAAGAAAGCTAATCAGTCTTCATGAGCTTAATTAATTAATTGGAATGAACATGGTAGTTTGGGTTGTTTGTCTGATGCCAATTAGCCTTTCAGAGCAAACCATCTAAACAGTTTTAGAAAGAAGATGTCACACCTCCTCTTAGATACAAATAATCATGCTCATCCCTGATGCAACTTCCCTGCAGTAAGCACAATCACACCACTGATTAATTTGGCACTACATTGGTGGAGTCTTTCCAGAGAACAACACCTGACAACATGTTTGTTTGTTTGTTCTCCTGGCAAATTTGCAGACAGTGAAAGTACAAGGCAATGACATCTCCCACAAGCTTCAGATTTCAAAAGTGAGGAAAAAGGATGAAGGCTTGTATGAGTGCAGGGTGACCGATGCCAACTATGGAGACCTTCAGGAATACAAGGCCCAGGCATTTCTCAAAGTCAACGCTAACAGCCACTCTCGGCGAATGCAAGCCTTTGAGGCATCTCCAATGTGGCTGCAAGACATGAAACCTCGCAAAAACATCTCAGCAGCTGTTCCAAGTAGCATCCATAACTCTGCCAATCAGCGTGTGCGTGCCACCTCCAGCCCTGAAGCAGCAGCCAAAATTCCCAAACAAAGTCCACAATCAGGTATGGTAAAGCATTTTGAGCTTTCATTTGATTGCTTTCCGGCATGTAGAAGGAGGCTAACTCAACAAGGTAACCAGGAATTGTGACTAGAAGAGTGTGGTGGTCATTTATTCCTCCTTCTTTCTGGCTCTATTCTTCCTGCTATCTCCTTACTTCCTAAAACCTGAAGAATAAGCTTCTGGGCAGAAGAAGCAAAAAGCCTTAAATTCCTGTATGTGGATTTTATCTCTACTGGCTTTATCCACCTAAGTTTAGCTTTTTAATCAAAGCTCAGCTTTCCCTGTAGTGTGTAGAAACAGGGGGGGCATGTCAGTAAATGACTCATCTCATCTTAAGATGGCTATGCATGATAAATTGAATAAAACTCCCATTCAGAATTGTTTCTTCACAAGTTAATTTACACCAGTCACCTAACATTTATATCTTTAACATCTGGCAAAATTAATCTACTTCTGGTAACAATCTTACTTCCATAAGGAACTTGACTTCTAAATCTAAGCAGACCTTAGATATACCAGATTGTTTCTCCCTTGTATAGGCTTTAGAAAGATCGTGGGTTTGTCAGAGAACATGCCCTTCTCATCTTCAGCTGCTTGACCATTAGCTTTGAATCATGTATCAAAATTTCAGTGCCTCAATTATTTGTCACGTAGAGACAAGCATACTATTCATTTCGTTTGAGAGATTTTGTACAACATTGTATAAATAACCTGCAGACAGTATAAGTCTGAATTTTCTACATTGATACAGTAAAACTCACAGTTATGTGAAGGTATGTGAATATACAGGAGGTGCAGATGTTGACCACTGTATGACTGCAATAAAGAGATGCACAGGATAAAAAACTAAGATGTTGTAAATACTCAGAAGTTCTCTGGAAAACAAGCTGTGCAGGTTTAAGGGTTTCTGGATCACTTCTGCTTACACTGAAGGCCCAATGTAAGGCAGATCAGAACCAAGCTGAATGTATATAATGGAAACTAACCTCGTTTGTTCTGATGCATCATTTTTCTGCTAGCAAATGCCATCTCATCAAAACCAAAACTAGGAATACAACAAATTTCACACCACACCTATTGTAAAATCACTTTAATCTTGCAGGCATACTATTAGAAAAACATTTTGATAAGGAAAATACATTTCTTTACAGATTGGAGGACTATGATTATTCATATAAAAATTCTTATTGCTACTAGAAAAGATGATGCACATACCACCACTGTTTTACCTCTGCATACAGTTTTCAAATTTATTTATAAGCTACATTCAGTTCTGTTTCCCTGAAATGAAGCCACTTTCATTTTTTAGCTCTTTCAAAAATGTTTAAGCTGTTAGAAGAAAAGTATTTCAATTGATTTAAAATCATCATTCTACTATGATTTTCCTTTCAGAGAAATGTATATATTGCTTATTTTCCATTGGACTTATACATTTGAAAGTAGCAGACTTGTCCATAAAGTGAAAACTCTGGTTTCTCTTCAGTTCTATGTGAAATTAATTAAAATAGTCAAAAGTTTATGAAATATGTAGCTATAGATTATACTGCATTGCAGCCAAAGTGTGCACACAACAGCTAATCCACTAAATCATTTTGGATATATAACTGAATCTGTAATATTGTTTATGTTTTTATTCCAAACAATATCTTGACTGATTGCTGGACATTTGTTACTTGAGAGGTAGTAGGTTATTACATGGAAAGGGCCCTGTAGAAGAAAAAAAAGCCATCATAGAAAAACTTAATCTGTAATTTTTTTTCCTTGAGCAAAGATTACTACAGATGAAGTACAGAGAAACCAAATCATAAATAATTTTAAAATTAAACAGATTAAAATATACTTTAGTTTATTAATTAATTAGTTTTACTGTGAAGCACAGATTAATGCTCCATTCAACAGAGGTGAAGCTCATCTACTGAGGAAAAAAGTGTGTACCATGAATCTATATTAGGCTTAATTTCAATGTAATGGTCACTTGTTACACAGTAATTATTGGTGGTATTTTAATGAACATCAGTTTAACTCTTGAGAACCAGGATTCTCTTTCCTTTACTTGAGAAAATCTGGTCTTAATTTTCCAGCTCTGTTGAGATCTGGATTTTCACTCCATTTTGTACTCACTCTACACCAATAGAAATACACACAGGAGCACAAGGCAGTGAGGATTTTTAGCTCTATGTAACTTTGAGGAGCAACTTCAGCTAAGAAAGGAAAGATACCAGTTGTAGGACGTCAGAAAAGCAGAGAGGAGGTGTCATAGCCTATAATGGTCTTTCATTTTATGATACCACGAATCAACACAGTCTCTTTATATTGTCAAATGAGAAACTCTTCCCTTCTTCAAAATCATGCTAAGTATATACATGTGCACAAGACTGCTGTGTGATTACATGTAAACAATGTATCCATCCAGCCTAGAGCACAGAAAGATGGTTGAACACAAATTTATTACTGTTAACCACATTTCTGTTTGAAAGACATACGGGATGATTGTGATGCGTTTGTTTATGTTGAATAATACATTGATTTCAGCAATACTGTTTAAAGAGAGAAGTAATATTAACCATAGGTAATTGTATCAAATATTCTCCAATATTAGAGAGCTAGTGTATAGTTATTGGCAAACAATAAATTTTACTTCCACGCTCACAGACTACTGCAAAATACATTTACAGCAAAGTGAAGCATGATACTGCAAAATTATTTGGATATCTGTATTCAGCTATTTTTTAAGAACTCAGCTACTGATATAAGATTGGCTCTGATTATATGAATATTTTATCCCCAAAATTTGTTGTTGTAGGTTGCACTCTGATTAAATCCTTCAATCGTCAAGCACAGAATTTCACTTCTTTCTGAACGATATTTAATAGGTTGTTTAGAAAAGCAGTTTACAGCCACTGCCATTTAAAAATATCAGCATTTCCCAACTGAACAGATATTTCTGCCATTCTCTTTTACATAAAAGTAAGAATATCTGTCATAGCTATGAGGGAGCTACATAGCCAGGGCTGACAAAGTGATGTGAGATCCATAAAGCGTTTGGTGCTGCTCTGAAAAATGCTATGTGACTGTAAGAGGTATTTGTTATTGTTAGCTTAATCCAATATGGGAAGAAAGAGCTAAAGAGAATATCTCCCACAGACAATCTTCAGATAATATACTGAGAGGCACTGAATGTATACCTCAAAGTCAAAAAAGTCAGGAAAGAAAAAGTCAAAGCTAACACAGCTTGACCCTTTCATTTCATATTCATGGGCTGCAGCAGATGAAGTAAGCCATCACATCTTAAGAGGAATCTGAGTAATTTGACAGGCTAATCTACATATATCCAGAAAATGTCCTATGTAGGTGGAGTGACAGACATTTTCCCTGCATAATTCATAGCAATGTATCTTAGTCCAAAGGGGAAAGTACAGAGTTCTCACAGAGCCTTGTAACTCTTAAGCAATGTTGCAATTAACTAAGGTGCCAGAATTCCAGTAAAAGGAAGCTAAATAGTCTACAGGCTGTACCAAATCTCACTGTTTCATGGATATAAATCTAGACAAACTTTGCTACCTACATTCAAGTCACTCAACTTTACAGCAAAACAAAAGGCTGCAGAATTTGGTGTGCTGAGAATGTGCATATGCCCCGAACTCATCCTGTCCTGCCAATGCTCCCTTAAAGCACTCAAAGCCATTAGCTGATTTTCAGACTCAATATCAGGCTCAGAAAACCCAAGAAGAATTAGCTCCAAATGAAGAAGTGACATTAGGTTCATTTTCTGACTGCCTGCAGACAGACTCCACATTTCCAGCAACTTTTTGTTCTTTCCCGTTGTAACAAATTCAACTATTAACACAACTATGTGCCAAAAACTGCTCTTGTGATGGTAGCAAAGTTGTAGTGAGTGACTTGAAATGGAGCATAAAGGAGAAGATGGCCCTTACCTAAGACAGAAAACCAGGATTCTTGGCATCATAAATCATGCTGAGAAGCTGAATATCAGGTGTGAAGACAAAAGAAGAGGATGAAAACACATTTCTTCAGTCTGGTGATCCTGATAAACCAATGACATTCCTTCCAGCCTCTATTAATAATTATCTACAGAGTCCAGGAATATTTTATCAGCCTACTGTAAGCACAAATTTTATGTCCAGTTTGGAATCATATGGAATATAAAGCAACTTCTGTGATTTGTTTGCTTTTGGTTTGGGGTTTTGTTTGGTTTTTTTTTTTTTTTTTTTAATTGCTCTTTTATGTTACTTTTCCTCTTAAAGTGAAGGGACAAAAAATCTGCTCTAGCCTGCACTATGTCAACAGGCAACATTACTTCTTTCTTCACTAAGAGAAAGACTTTATCTTTGGTGGCTGCTGTTTCTGAAACTATGTGGCTGGGAGCCACCAACCATTACTGTGATTGTTGAACAACAAACATTCAAGTATCTGTTTCCTTAGGACTACATTGAAGCAAAAAAAGAATGATGGTTTTGTTCTTCTTGTTCTGAACCTTCTTCAGTCATCCTCAGAAATTCTGTCAAAAGGTGATGCAAGATCTATCCCATGTTGCACCTGTATACAGTATAATCTCTGTTTTTACTTGAAATTTACACTTTGGTTATCTCTTCCTGCTACAAAGCCATTTAACTTTTTCAGTTTCTCTGAAATAATGGAATAAATTCTTCCCATGGTAACTGCTTAGTTGTTGACCTTGAAACAGTAAGCATCATCTGAAAAGTGTTGATGTGCTCCAAGTAACTTTGTTGACAAAGCCAGGTCTTAACAGCAGCTAAATACATATTTTTTTTTTAGGCCAGGATTTCCAACACAGAATGAACTCACTACTGCCCTATGTTTCTTTCAAAAAGCCCACACATTAGTTTTTTATATGTGTGTACTTACTGATAGAACCAAACACATACAAGTATTTAACATCCTGTTCCTAGTGTTTAGTAAAACTGAACAGTTTTCGGTGGATCTGCAGTTCTAACTCCCATCACAAACAAAATGATATCT